TAATTGCCGAACCGGTCCTGCTGCCAAGCACTTTCAGCACCTGGCAGTGCCTGGCACGGCAGAGCCGCCCCCCTCCTTCATAGAACCGAGCATTGCGTGCATCAGCGCAGACCTCGGCTTTCCAGCCGGACTTGACTTGCTTCAACAAGAAAGCAGCCGGCAAGGTGCCTCTCTTCCGAAAGCTCGTCGGCGTGGACGCCGATTGCAGTGATTTCGAAGCACTTCTCAACCACATTGCTCGATACCTCTGCATGATGGCATGACCGATGTGCATTTCGAGCACATCTGATCCCGAATGCCAGCCACAAGCCGAATCGTGTTGCGCCTTGTTTTTGGAGAATTCCAGCAAGCTTTTGGTTATTGCCTGACCACGCGGTAGCTGCATCCTTGAAATCACCAACAAAACCACGCCTGAACAATCTGCCGCTTGTCCTTTTCCCGTCCTCTCTCAAGGACGCACTGGATAACCTGATCCAAACACAACCAACAAATTCCTAAATGCACACTTCAGACTTCCGAGCCGCATAGTTCGCATGGCTGTCCTTCAGGAAAGGTCTACACCAGGCATGGTACGAGGACCCCGGAATCATTACAATCATGAAAAAGCGAAGAGCATTCCTTGGAAAGCTTCCCAGCCGAGGCGACGATCGGGTCCAGGACCGAGGCCAGCTGTTCTGCATCGCAGTTCTCCAGGAGCCTCTGAATGATGCGGCAGCCATACCTCACAGGCACGACGACCCATGCCCGAAAAGAGGGTAGCTTAACAGTTCAGCTTCTTCGAAACACGCTTGGGCACATGTGTGCCGCCATTTCTGCTGCCTTTCCAGCTATGGCAGAGATTACGAAGTCTATGTCGTCTGTGCTCAGGTTTTCCACAACCTTCTGGACCACATGGTTACCTTAGCGGCACGTCAGCTATCATCAGCTCTTCTGCACACATGCTTGGCCCAGAACAAGCCCAAAAGAAAGACCTTGTGACAATCGCCCGGATGCTTATCAGAAGCCTGTCCTTCAAAGGTGAGGTCTAAGGAACTACTGCACCTGGCATGCGGCAGCTATACAGTACACATGCGAGACAGCATCGGGCCGGAGCCGATGCAACGATCCTCGTGATTGCCGCTGGTCGTGCTGTAATGCTACATGCAACGAATCCCACGGCATCGCGAGCTCGAGTAAAGCATACTCAAGACTGTTGCGCCAAAGCCAAAGCCACAGCTGCTTAGAGCTTCTTGCCCTGGATAACAAATACGATGTCGTGATTCTCCTGTGCCACATGCTGCCTGACGGCAGCTTGTAAAATTGGAGCCCCCCCCCCCCCCCCCCCCNNCCCCCCCCCCCCCCCGCACCCCCACCTTACCTTGCTACACAATGAAGCGCTTTTTCTCGGTTGCTTTGGCTTCTTGGACAGGGACCCTGATTGGCTCGGGCAATGTTCTGGGAGCCGAAGGCTGAATGCCTTTCTGAAGCCCCAAAAACATCGCTTCAATGAATTTCCCGGCTAAAGTCCATCGATAAGCGCAGATACTGAGGTTGTAGGATTAGCTCAACTGAAGAATTTTCGACTCTCCGGGCCCGCGGCCATGCATATCGTAGATGCACTGGACAATAGCGTCCGCAAGCTCGGCAGCAATCGCAGACTTCTTCTGTGCAGGCAGAACTTCCAGCATCTTCTGTATCACCCGGCAGCCGAACTTGTGCTCAGAAAGTTCAAGGACCTGACTAGCTAGAAGGTCTTGTCCATGCTTGTCGCAAAACTGGATGAGATTGACGGGATGAAAAGCAGGTGAATCCCTGTCAGCACTAGAGATCGGAAGCTAGGTTTCATGACGTCAGAACAAGAGCAAGCGAGGACCAAAGCCATGGTTGCCACCGAGCCGCATGGCCCTTGACCTTCGAGAGCATGACCTGGTCAGGTCCAAAACTCCCTTGCCTGCATCACCGGCCCGGTCTGCGATCTGTCTGGCCATGTTGGCCTCCAGCTGCTCGGCGGTGCCGTGCTCAAGGAGTTTTTGCACCACAAAGTTGCCGAAGGCGTCGCTTGCCAATTTCACCTCTCGATACCCCGAAGCCGCACCACACTGCCCGAACTTACACACGCTTCAATCCATGCGGCGAATCTCAGGAAAACCCTGGTCCGGCCGTGTCCGCCATGGCCAGATTGTAAATCTTGGCCTTTTCTTCTGCACTGCAGTTTCCAGCCAGCTTCCACTGGAGGAAGCGGCTGCCCTCCTGTTCCTGCAGGCCGCGTGGAAACGCAACTTCGTCACGGAACTTGGATGTTACCCTCAGTCCTTCGCAGCTTTTGTAAGCCGCGGGAACACCTGGAGCACGGGAGTCTGAAGTTCACGTTGCAGGTTGGATCTCTGCTTCTGCTCCATGCTGCATGATGATCGTTGCGAGGTACCACTCTGTTGATTGCCACCTACGCTGGATGGTGCCCTTCTAACGAATGAGCCTCCATGCCCTCGGCAACAACAAAGATAGAGAGGTGCAAACCTCACCCCCAAGGATGCTCCTCTGCCAAGGTGAGGTTGATATCTGCCCCATTGATGACGGCGCTGTCATCAGGAGATTCGTCCCGCTGCTTCTTTCCCCGGATGGGGTCCTGTCAGGGACATCAACATCAACAGCAATGGGCTCTCGAATTACGAGACGATTGTTTGATACTGCCCGGAAATTGAAAGTCAGTAGCGCGAACAGCTCATACCGTTTCCGTATCTGCAACGAGCCGTGAGAACAGATGAACCTGCCTATCCCGACCTTGTTCTTCTTGGAGCCCTTTCCCCTTCTTGGTGAACGGCTCCTTTCGGGAAGCATGAAAGTTCCGGCCTGCCTGGCTCGCACTTCCCAGCATGCAGAGGTCATTCCAAGGAACCATCGAGGCCCAATAGAGCCCCTTCGTCCCTGAGAATCCGAAAATCTGAAATTGACAAACCATGAAAAGGCGACGACCCTCTGAAGCTGTGGTCGGCGTCTCCTGCGCAAAGGCTCCCTGCAAGCACTTTTCAAAGAGGCAACACCGATTTTCCAACTGCTGATGCCACTAGCCCTGGCCTGTCAGAGTGCGTGGGGTGCGGATAGCCTGCCGGCGGGTAGGCCGGCGGAGGATACTGCGGCGGGTAACTTGGCGGTGGATAGCCGCCTGGCTGCCCCACACCACTGTTTCTTGGTCAAGCGTCTCGAATGCTGCAAGTGAGTTTGGGGGGTTGGGGACATTACTGTCAGGCGATGTGCACGAATGTGCTTAGATTGCCCTCGAGGTGTACTGTACGGTAATGGCAACCGCTCTGGAGCCTTCAAGCTCCGACGGTGTCGCATGTTTCCCGGCACAGGTACCGACAGTCTCAGAACAACTGGTGCCCTGATCCAGTGCATCGAATTATGAATTATGCCTGAGCTGCCGTCACAACCACGCCCCAACATGACAAAAGCTGACAGCATCCTTGCAGAAGCTGTTTTCTGGCAAACACACCGTTCATCATGATTTAACAGCCAAGCGCCTCCTTGCAAGTCACCACTGCTTGAAGCCTCATGGTAAACTTCGAAAACTCACGTGCCTGGTGGAGGATACGCAGGTGGAGCACCATATGCAGGTGGTGGATACGTGTAGCCAGGCGGCGGATAATATCCCGGGTATGCTGGCACTTGGTAGCCGTGTCTCCCGTAGGGGTCGTAACGCGCATCGTACGCAGGATAGGATGCGTAGGGCCCATAAGGGTCCCTGTAGTAATCATCATACCGCCGCCCGTATGGGTCATGCGCAGACCTGGCCGGCGGGACGCCTGCATAGGGGTCCTTGCTAGAAGCCTGACGATTGTCTCCGCCCCAAGCAGATGCAAGCTCGTGCTTGGATTGCGAGTCGTCAGCCATGGTTTCAGCCACGGAGCTACGGGTGCATGCGTCAGGTTTTGGGCTTACTGGACGAAGTCCGGCTGAGTGTGACACCTGAGAGCTCTTTTTATCGGTAACAATGCCACTACAGAGCCACGTAATGGTGACGGGGATGAAAGGAAGTTGGATGAAGGGCGTGGGTGTGGGCGCGAATTCCTGCATGCTCGTCGTTACCATCGTGTATGCAGCTGCTGTGGTAAGCAGCGGGCAGAGCACCTACTGATGCTAAGTGATACCGACCAACAACCTTTGCGACCCTTCAGATGTTTGACGGGCAAATACTATGGGTTTGTAGTTTGTTAATAGAAGCACTTGGGGCACTATAGCAGCCAAACTCGAGCCTGTAGCTATTGTACCTATTTCTTGCATCATGTCGAGAATGTCCCAATGCTGCCACCCTTGGTTTTTGTGCGTTGTTCAAATTACACCTCCTGCGTCTATCACTGTGATGCACTCTTCTTAAGACGTGCTTTGCATGGACCTTTACCGGTGCTCGGCAAGCAAAGATGTCACCTAGGATGGGATGAGATGACATTGTGGTAGCTTCTGTCGCCTGATAATACCGCTACCATCGAACTCAGGGTTCAGGACGAGATGTGAACCCCGGATCTTGGGGCTCGGGGAAAAGGCTCAACCGGACCAGCTTGGAAGCGAACATACGACTGCCAAACTCATCTCTGGATCACCGAAACACCGAATACCGACAATTACTCGAGCATCAGAAACACGAACAGTTCGGATTCAATTTCCAGTGTCGCAAGTCCGGCACTGCATGACATGTGAGGTTCGGAAAGTTGCGCTCTCTTCCGCAAAACCCCGCGGGTCAGGGTCAAAAGAGCATGGGCTTCAAGTAGGAGATAATCAGGATGACACGAAACGAGGGAGAGGCGGGTGCGTATACATCAGACATATTTACATACCGTCTACCATGCGGCATCAGAATTTTAGTTGCGGGGGAAACATGGGTGTGCTCTAGATATAAGCCCTCAAGCAACAAAGCACAGAGCCCGCCCTTCTTTTGACTGGCATGGCGCTGGCGCAGGTCCCAAAAGCAGACGCGCCGTTGCAGCTCAAGCCCAGCATCTAATGGACACTTCGGCGAAAGCTTGTCACTTGGCGCCGGAAAGGTTGGACTTCGCCTCCAAGAGGGCTTCGACCTGACGTCTATTATGGCTCTCAAGACGGCAAAGGTGACAGATGGCGCTTCCGGGCCTCGTCGGCTCGGGCCTTCTGACGCGCATCGAAGTTTGCCACTAAAAAGTCACAGGTCTCGTGCAGGTCTTCTCTCAGACCCGCCAGGTTCTGGACCTCGGCCTCGGCACCTCCACGGTCACAACAGGTCAACCTCGCTCGCTTTCTGTCTCCGTGGCCCCTACGTGGCCTTCTTTGGACTGTCGGGCTTGCACCATCCTCTCGCTTAGCTTTGCTTTCTGCTCCGCCTGGCGGCTTTCATCCCTGCAGCCCTGCACTGCAGTTCACCAGTGCAGCGCTGCTCGGCCTGGTCTTGAAGCTCTTTGTCTTTCGTGGCCAGGGCCGCAATGGTCTCCTGCAGGGAGATGCAGGGAGAGCGTGGCAAGCACGTAGAGGCCGGCAACGGAGCAAGAAACACATGTGCAGCTGGAATCAATGCATGAAGACCTGTCCATCTCAGAATGTCGGGCACCCATGCACAAGCGCGGTGCGTCGCTCCGACACTGCCACGCTCGCAGGCAAGCAGAAGCACCCCCTTCCGCAGCGCCGAAGAGATCAAGTACCCACAAATGACTCAGACTTCGTGGTCTTCCCATACTTCCGACCCTGACTTGCCGCACGGGGTCCGAAGTACGTCAACCAAGCAAACTTAGAACCGATCTTTTCGCATCAGGACTTGTGCAATCGCCTGAAGGCCTGAGCATACGGTTAAGAACCGATCTCCTTGCCGAAGTCTTCGTAGTCCTTCTGAGCTTCTCGCTCGGCTGCAGTGGATTCCGCTTCCATCTCCTATCTTGCATATCAGGGATGTTTTCGGACGAAACAGCCCGACCAATTCCAAACATGCGCAAAATGAGGGCCAGGGCCAGGAGCTTTCAAGCTCCCGATCATGTCTCCTTTGCATCTGCAATCAGCTGCTGGAGCATCATCATGACCTGAAGCCCAACAGCAACGCATAGAAGCTCGGGCAGCTAGGGGCTCCCGAGCAGGTGCAACTCGTGAAGAGCACATGATCCGAATAATTTTGGCCGTGTCGCGCCGTTGTTGGCCGAATTCTTCTTGTGGCCACCAAAAGTCTCCGGCTCCTTGGGATTGGCCTTAGCCCCGAAGCAAAGAGAGTAAAGAGAGTTGCGGGCAAAACACTGCAGCCCGCGAGCCTTTTGGAGGAAGGAACCTTCGTCCTTCTTGTTGTAGAAAGCAGCCAGAACACTGAGTGCATTTTTCAGAAGCACCTGCTAAGGCTCGACGACTATCAACCCGAGGTTATGCAAAGGAATCAAGTTTTGATGCCGCTTTATAACACTACCCCAAATCCCAAATCCCGCCACCACCCTCCCTGAGTCTCGACCTTATCGTGCACAAAACGGACCTGTGTTTGGCGCTGCTGTTCCACGACTTTCTGGAATTCGGCATTCTCCTTCTCTCTGTTTTGTGCGGCCAGCTTCCTTAGTGCAGGCGGGCGTAAACACTTTCTCCGCTAGCGCCACGTTGTGTGTCCACCCCATGCCGGCTTGTGCTGGCAACTGTCAAAGGAGGCTCTGTGATGGAGCTACGGCGAGCATCTCTCAGACCCTTGCACGTCTTATTGGTTGCTTCATCTCGCTGCCGGGCGACTGCTGCTTCTTAAGCTCGCCCACCTGCGCCTTAAACATCAAGTTTATCGGCAGCATCACCGTGATGCTGCGAAATTGCTGCCGGTTTTTCTGGCCTGGACGTCTGCAGTCTGCATTTCCAGGGCCTTGACTTTCTGTTTCAAGTCCTGCTGTTCCACTCAGCAGGAATTAGGTCAACTCGGCCTCATTGTTGTGATGGTCTGACAGGGGGATGCCCACCTCTGCTGCAGCTGAGAACTCGTCGCCTTCTCGTTTCTTATCGTCGGAGGCAAGCCTTTCACAACGTCTCACAAACATCCTCTACAATAGCACCAAGATTGCGAGGGGCCTGTTTTTCTGCAGCTCTTCGATGCAATAGTCCTTCTTCTTCACTTCGGCTGCCTGCTCCTCCTTGAGTGCAGCGACCATGGCGGCGATCTGCGTTCGCACCTGGGAAGACATGCCGTCGCTGAGAGCTACTGTCGTGAAGCATCACAACAGCACGATTATTGTAGCACTTGGGCGTGCCGCCATTTTCCGATCGAGCATTCGATACAGCGGCTGCAGAAGCTGCAGCGATCCCTTGTCGAAACCCTGCTCCCATCGCCTGAATTCTTCTAATTCGGCGAGTAACTTTGCACAGCGGTTACCTTGATTTATCAGCATCATCGCTTTGGATGAGCCACACTTTCTGAGACGTGTTGTTTGATCATCTGCACGGAGCCCAAGGGCTTCAGGAACTGGAGAACCATCAGGCCACAGAAGATCACCAGTCTCCGAGACGCAGGGGTAATGTGAATATGTTTGCGGATCGGCCGCATGCAGCCTGCACAGGCGCGCCAGGTTGGAAGCGTTCACGTCCTCGGGCCAGCTGTCTTCATCAAAAGCAGGAAATCAGATTTCTACCAAATCAGTGCCCTCCAAGCGTCCCGGCCAACTCGGCAGTGCCCAGATGGAGAAATGAGCCGGATTTGAAGGGCTATCTTGGAAGCTTCCAGGTAACCATGGAAATAGCGAATGCGCGGATGGTCCACTGCCTCGGGCCCCCAGAAAACCTTCCCTCTGGGCCCTTGTCAAACCTGTCACGAGCCCCAAGCCTTTCTCTCCGCGACTTGATGAATGAAGGCTGCCACAAAGGGTGGGCCAAACATGGCCATGTCGCGGGCAGCCTGCACTTTCTGATCCACAAAACCAACACCACCAACTTTCCCAAATTAGACGGGACCTGAACGTCACCTTGGCCATTGTCACCCAAGAAGACCGCCTCGAAAGGTGGTCCCATCACCATTTGATGCCCGCACCGGCATGCAAGCACAGCGTCCATGTACCAAGACTTCGGGGAGGCCTTTTGTTGGCCAACGTCGTTGCCCAAGACTTCCTGGCAACACGCTCAATCCCCTGTTCATTCTGCTGGTTGGGTTGCACCGCTGGCATATGCTCAAAGCCTCCCAGTTGCGCAGTTTCGTTCGCCCGAAGGGTCGGAAGTCCCCCAGCAGCGCGGGGAACACGTCGCGGATGCGGCCATACTTGGAGCCTGGTGTAGTGGACGACTAAATCTGCCACACTGCATCACCCGTTTGTGTCTGCCTTATGCCTACTAACCTTGTAGTATATTTGCCCTGCGGCCCTGCGGCATGCCTTGGAAGTCAATGCCCCAGCTTGGCAGCTCGTTGGCCTTGGCGACGCGCTGGAACTCCCGTGCAACCTGCAAAACACCGGGCCAGCCGCCAACCGGGCGAGAAGACAAAGCAGGGCAAACATAGAACAAGCGGAGACGATGCACACAGTACGAGGAACCATCTGCGAAAACTCATTCTGCGAACCTTACTGGTGGGCTTCATGCGCAAGAAGCCAAGCCTCAGAGTGGCCCGAATGCACGCGAATGCAGCGACGAGAATTTGCACCAGGTAACTTTTCTGGCCGTGCCGACAAAAGCCGAACGTTGGGAGGAGGCCTGCAGCGTTGATTGATTCATTACAGGTACACGGCTGTAAGTAACCATGCCATGCACTGGAGTCCTGTCTTTGGTGAAGGTGCCCGCTGCGCGGCCACGTGCGATCTCGAGCATGAACTGCACAGCCCCCGGATAGATCTCCTTCCTCGAAATGCAGTTAAGACTGGAGTAAGCGAACCCATCATACATGGTTTCGCCACATGCACAACTTATGTCTTGCTGAAAATCATACATCGCCGATCGTCCGATAGCCGCGCTCGTCGATGCCGCCGCCACGCGGCCCTCCAGAGCACTTGATCGTGTCATCAACGTCCGACAATATCCTGGATGTCTGCTCCTACCGGCTTCGGGTCACATTCCGCAAAGGCTTGCCAGCTGGAAGAATGCGGCATGTTCGGTTGGCTTGCCATTCACATTGGTTCCTCTGAGCCAGGAACTGGGCCCCGACGGAGCCACGCCACCAACGAAGCAAGGCACCCTCAAGAGCTTCTCAGTCTCTCGGACTTCCCAGAAGTTAGGCATGAGGCTAGACCAGTCGAGCCTGCGCGAATCGCAGCTTCATCCCAATCGTGGGTGAAGCGCGACGGACAACAAGCCGGCCTCTGAGGCATTCTCTGCATCCAAGATTTGCCGGGCGCCTCCACGCGGTGACTGTTAAGAGGAAAACACAAGTCTATCTTAAACAAGCCGTGGCGAAAAACTGAAACTCCTGACATCTGCTTCGGGGAAGCATGCGATGCCTTCTTTCCAATTCCAGGACGCGTGGGAGCCGCTCTAGTCGCGGGACGAAGCTCAGACCTGCCTGCATCCCAGTATAAACATGCATTAAACAGTCCATGAAGTCCCAACGCAAGGGCTTGGCCTGTTCATGTGTGGCCAACTGCACCCACAGCGACATGAGACCAAGCAGCACAAGAAGCCATGCCAGCAGCATGAAGCAAACTCAAGTTCAGCAAAACTCAAGCACGTAGCGCACTCATGAAGTGTATCAACGGCTGGGGCAGCTGTGACGCCCTGGCCTCTGCAATCACATCAATCACTACTAACATGCAACCTGCGGAACCAAGCGCAGATGGCGTGCAAGCCCTGGCAGTCCTCCACCCGTTCCTGACTCTATCAAAGAGCTCATTCTCCGGATGCAAGCATGCCGTTTTGGAGCAAGCTTGATGTCGCCTCCACTCTTTTGTGCTCGCCCGCTGCTCTTGGTACTTTGGAGCCATCATTCTGGCCCTTT